GCTCAGCCTAAATTATTTTAAACTATTTTACATCTGTCAATTTTATGCAGCTTAGCATTTTCTGGAACCTCCAAAGCTCAGAGACAGCTTCTATATTTTTATCCTTTTTGTATTCACAGACATAATGAATCAGAAATTGTTAGATTCTAGATAAGAGGGTTGTGAAAGTAAAAGCAGTAGATAAAGTATTCAAGATTAATTTGAAGAAGTGGGCTGTGCCCACAAAAGCTCATGATACCATCTACGTTTTGTTCGTCTATAAAGTGCTACCAGACCGCTCATTGTTTAAGTTTATCCTGTACAGACTAACTCGGCTACCCTCTGAAGATTAAGTGTACAGTTAACCTTCAGAAGTTCACACTTAGCAAATGGGATGGAAGAAGAGGCAGTTAACATTGGGGATAGTTATTTGAAGACAGTGTTCTGTCACGCATGGTTCAAAGGAGCAGAATAAGAGATTAGCAGACCTAGTGAGATTCAAAAGCTCTGTATCAGTGGTTCCAAACCACAGGTCCATGGACTGGTGCTGGGCCGCTGTGGCTACCAGAGCTGAAGCAGGCTGTTCACAGTGTTGCTGCTGCACAGTGACTGGCTTCAACACCAGCAGCTATGGCAGCTAATTCTGCCGAATGGCGGCACTGGGGTTGAGGTGGCAGCAGAAGGCTGAGCAGGAAGTACCACTCCTTCCCTCCTCCCAGCCCCAGATAAGATGGCAGCCCAGCTGGGGCTCCACACTCCCTCCCACCTCTACCCATGGGGGCACAGAATGCATTTGGGGAGGGAGGGGGCACGAAGGAGGAGGCAGCACGTGCACAGCCAATGGCCCTCCCCCGCCCGCGCAGCAGTAACGGCCACGCTCCCTAGAGGGGACAGCCTCGTTCTGGGGAGTGCAGGGTGGAGTCAAAGGGGTGAGGTGAGGTGTGGTGGGATCAGGAGCAAGAGGGTGTTGGCATGGGCTGTAGAGGGCAGTGGTCAAAAGGGTGGGGGTGTTAGGCACTGGGAAGCAATGGGTTGGGGCTGAGGGAGGGCAGGGGTTAAAGGTCAATGGGCAAGAGGGTGTGGGTTGAAGTGAGTCAGTAGTTATGGAGGCAGGTGCAGTGCAGCTTGTGCTTCTGCCTAAGGGGCAGCAGATCTGAGGGTGTCTGAGCAGGATTGGTGGGTCTCAGAACTTGTGAAACATGCAGCTGCAGGGTCAGTGGGGCAGGATCAGGGTTTGGCACAACAGGCAGTCATGGAGTTTATAGAGTAAGGGGCACCAGGGGTAGTGGGGCAGGATCCAGGGAACTGGGAGATTGTCAATTTAAGTCAGGGGTTGCTGGGACACAGTGTGCCAAGATTGGTAGTGACAGCTGATGCAGGGCAGGCTCCAGGCAAGACAGAGGTGTTTGACAAAAGGAAGCTGGCAATGCAGGGTGTTGAGAAGTGGGAGATGGTGGGTACTTGGATGACAGGCTTGGCAAGACAGATGTGTGAGGTAAAGGGTTAATTGGAAATAGGGGATATCAGAGGATGGGTTGGCAGGTTTAATAACGAGACACAGAGTACCAGGGTTGGCTGGACAGAGTCAGAGTTTTCTGGGGTTGGAGATAGAAGGATGTGCAGTAATAAGATGGGGTCAGTATGTGAGTGGGCTGGCGAACAAGTAACATTTTATTTGTATATTTGCATGTTCATTATTTGTATAATGAACATGCAAATATGTAAATAAAATGTTAATCTGCCAACAGTTTGTGAATGGGTTTGCTGGTCTTTGATATTAAAAAAGGTTGGGAAATGGGAAGCTGAGGGTTTACACACACAGGAACAAAAGCACAAGCAGCTGAAAAACCCCGCAAAAAGCTTTTTAAAGGGAAGAATAGAGCAGCATGTAATAATTCTGAGGACAGCATTTTATTTAGAGGCAGAATTAATTTGAAAGAGAAGAGAAGATTGGGGACAGAAGTATTTTATTTCAGAGAAAAAAATCAATATATTGGGAGAGTGAAAGAACTGATTTATTGAAAGTGAAAATCTGTCAATGGAAATTAAGTATGCATGTCTTCAGAGAGGTGGCACATGTTCATTACACTGTGATGAGTAGACAGATACTGTGAAAAACGTTTCAAGCCCCATGTAACAATTGCTTCATTATATGTCACTCAAAATTTAGGTTCATAGGTTGGACTGCCTTAAAAAGTGTCATTTATGTCTTTTCCCCTTTGCCTCAAGATTTGTATTATTTTATTAATTTGGAATACTTCTGAGAAGATAAATGCTAGACAGCTCTTGCCTATCTAGTGTACAGAAAGTGTTTAGCAAAGAGGTTACCAAACAAGTCCAGGGAGAACTGATAGGCTATATGATTCTATAATGATTTTATGTTTCCAGATGTTAAAACACAATAACAAAAACCCAGAAGATAACCTACATTATAAGGAATGGGAGAGGAAGTCCATAAGGGACTGTTAATAAATTTGACATCCCAGACCTAACACTGCCAGACTAAGAAAAACAAAATCAGATTTGACATTATGACTTTTACCTATCAATACCCATAATAGCTGAGTGTCTTTTGCAGTCTCTTAAGGTATTCATCCTCAATACACACTCCACATTAGAATCCTAAATAGTCTTTCTTTAGTCATTCAAATGGCAGTTTTTGTTACAAAAAAAGTTTAAAATGGACTATTCTC